TGGCAGATGCTGGGACTGGGACCAACCAGCCAACTAGCCAGCCTCTCTGGCAAGACGTGCAAGCCACGCGGGGCCCAGGAAGAGAAAAGTCAGACAGTGCCTTCCGTGAGCCTACCAGCGCAGGGCTGGGAATCACAGACACCCCCGACCCCGTAAGCAACCAGCTGGTTAGAGGATGGGCTGAGTTGACAGCAACTGAGCTACAAAAAGCAACTGAATGCTTCTACTACTGTTAGGTTGACTTTGCAAGCCTGGGGCTGGTAGTCTGAGCATCTACATGGAGGATGCAATATAGCAAACATGGGGGATTCCCTTCTACCTTGTTTTTTGAAATTCAATATTGTTCTCACTGTTTTGTTTTGTTCTGATTATTTTTGCTTTATTCAATATTCTGTTCTGATTGGCTTTATTCTGTTTTGTTTTGATTTTGCTATACTATATCTGATGGAATGGACAACTATTGTGAAGATAACAAGATGTGCCATGGTAGCCATTGCTGTTTCCTATTGTTCTGCTGTGAAGTTCTGTACCAGTTTCACTGCTTTGTTTTGATTGGATTTATTCTGGGGGTTTTTTGTTGGGTTTTGTTATCTTAAAATAATTTTTAAAAAGAAAACAAAGTCATTGACAAGATGTTGTTATAATCAGGGTTTGCAAGGAAAAGGATTTAATACAGGACACATAATTTATAGGATTATTCTATAATATTCACCCAAACAGTCAAATGCAAAAGAGTGCAAGAGATTGGTCCACACACTAGAGATCCACAGTTTCCAGCTGAGGGCCTGAATCCCATGAAAATGTGCTACACAAATCCAGCTGAAGACCTACAGCCCATGAGTCCAGCTGGAGGCTGAGAGCCCACAATGTCCCATGCAAGTCTGTATCAAGGACCTGCACTGGGAAGGCCCAAAGGTCAGCGGCGGAAGCTAGAAAGTCTGCACCAGTGGGACGAAGGAGCTGTGCCAGTAGCTGAGGGATCTGCACTGGAGCCAGAAAGCAATGTGCAAGGTCAGGACCAGAGCTGCCCTGAAAAGAACCACAGCCATCCTCAGCGACAGCGAGGTCCTGAGCTCCTGTGATGGTGAGAACAGCTGAATTCACATCAGGAAAGCCAGCACTAGCTCCTCCGGGAGAATCACCAGCGCACCACCCTTCCCCTCCAGTTCTCCTTTATGCTGCTGGCCACAATCCTCAGCTGGGCCTTCCACACCCAGCACCACCTGATTCAATTCAGCTGGGCATTACAAGCTGCCCACCAGTTGTCAGTCCATCACAGATATCCACCAAAGGAGGATCTCCACAAAGAACCGAATTTAATTTTTCTGCCAGCTTAGCAGAATGGAAATACCAAGTCTGCAATTAGGTTGAACTACAGAAAATAAAATTCTATTGTACATCTGGTTTGCCAAATAAAATTTATACTCACCCTACCCTACCATAATGGGGTTTTGTTTTCAAGAGCTTAAGTCTATGATCTGCTGTTTTTGTGTTCATGATAATCAAAATGTCTAGAGTGTGCCAGGCTCTGATACCTGACACTATCACTGACTAGCTGGGTGAACTTTTATTGGTTTCTTAGTATCTTATATATTAGCTTCCTTCTCTGCAAAATTGGAAAAATAATTACCTCATGGTATTATTGTAAAGATGAATGAGGTCTTAGTTACTTTTCTCGCTGCTAACACAAAATACCCAACTATCAAAGCTAAAGGAGGAAAGGTTTATTCGGCTCACAGTTTGTAGAGGTTTCAATTCCTAGTTGGCTGGCTCCAAGGCAGGGTGGCAGATGGCAGAGGGGCACTGCAGAGCAGGAACGGCTCATGGCAAACAGAAAGCGGCAAGTGCTTACAACCCTCTTTCTGCCCCTATGTTCCATCCAGGCTGCCCACCCTTAGGAAGTGGCACCCTTAACCCTACCCAGCACTATGCCAAGCCAATCAGTGGACTAATTTAGTAATCATATGCTTTTACCCCAGCCTCTCACCCTTAATCCCAGCCTTGCACACTCTAGATTCAGCCATGTCTGACCACATGAGGCTTTGGGGGGACATGTAGACACAAGCCATAGCAATGAGCTATAGGGTAGACTGAATTAAGGACTCTAATTTTTCTCTATCCCTGTATGTACTTTGTTTTGCTTTTTTTTGTTTTGTTTTGTCTTGTCTTGCCATATCACTTTGCAGCTTCCCTCCCTAAAGAAGTAGCTCTTTTACATCTGGGCTGACCTTGTCTCTTGCTTCGGCCAAGAGAAGCACAGTGGAGGAATGATGTGCTGACCCTCTGTCTGGGCCTGGTGGCCCTACGGCTTCTATTGTTCCCTCATGAGAATATGCTCAGGCTGGCTTCCCAAGGGTGGGAGACGTGGAGCAGAACACCGGTAGCCCCAGCTAGCCACCAGCTGACCCTAGATACATGAGTAATCCAGAGGAGGTCAGCAGGACCATGTGGCTGACCACCCCTTAGCAAGAGCAATACATGTGCACATTGTACACCACCCCCGAGCTTCTGCTTGCTATCGGGCAACAGCTAAATATTATAGAATCGCACCAAAGTTCACAGACAGAAAATGAAGCGCATGGTAAGGATTCTACACATGTCAACAAGCACAGTAAAGAGAAGACCGCTTGTCACACACTACCAGCTATGAAACACAACATAGCAAGGATGGATGTTCCATGTAGAATTATTGATGAAATCTACTACTCAAGGACACAGTCCAGATAAATATTCTTAATACCACAGGGTAGAAAAAGTCAGCCTTCTCCCTCAAACACAGATCTGAGGGGTGGTTAACAAATGGAAGCCTCCCTGCCCAGCTGTCTGGATTTGAGGTCTACGAGAAGCCCATTCGGCCTTGCTGACTCAGCACGTGTGTTAGACGTGATAAAATGGACCTCAGCAGTTCAAAGCCCTATTTAAATCCCAGATCAATGGTTTAACTCTTAGGTCAGGACAGGAAGACACTGCTATGTGATGGAAATGTTGTTTGGGGAAAAAAATGATGCTTGGTGGTAAAAACTGAAACAACCACATTTGTCTTCCAGGATTTCCAGTCAAAGCAACCCCTCGAAAATTAGGTGCTGGACACAGGTGAGTATATTAGGGTGCACACAGATGGCTTTTGTTTTCTATTTTACATATTCCATCAACCCCGAGTCCTTTGTCTTGCAAACAGAAATTTTCTAAAAATTCACTATCGTAATCACAATAGTTTGATTGCAAAGCTACTGAGATTATCAAAACCCTGTTAATCATGCTTCCAAAGTAGGTGATAGGTAATGAGTTCAAAACTTCAGTAACGAGAGCTCTGGGGCCTGCTTTTTCTCTCAGCTCCTATGATTGCCATAATTTGATTTTTTATATTTGCTGGCCAAAGCTGCTAGTGAGGGGGTGTTTCTCACCGAGTCATGAACTTGCTCATATTTAAATGTCTACACCTGTTTTAAACATATCAGAAATGTCCAATAAATACACTGTATCTGCCTTGAATAAAGTTGAGTCGAGATACTGGGGAGCCCATGTATAATAAAGTTTCCTCTGTGTTCACGTAAAATTTTTGTAATTCGCCTTTCCAGTACGTTCTTTTTCTGGGAGCCTAAGAATTGCATGACGTGTCTTCCATACAGACCAGGCTGGTGTGTACAAGGTCAGAAATCTGAGTAATTTCCACTGGCCCAAAGGGAATATTAAACTCTGCTGTCATTCTGTAGTATATAATTTACAGCCTTTTTTTGTTGTTGAGTTTTTTTTTTTTCATTTGTATGTTCAACTCCATGTCCTGATAGAAGGTGACAAAAATGCTCAATATGTTAAAAAATCTTATCACTAAATCAGGAACAAAGCTATAAATTTTGGCCTTTGAAATCAAACTGACTGGTGAGGATCATTTTGCCCCTGAAATATTACAGCAGTGATCAATTTGCTGTACAACAAAGCGGTTTAGCTCAGCAATCTACAGTTGCAAAACAAGTTGTTCAAAACCAAGTTTATGCTCAGCCCAAGGGATAAATTAAATTTTATGAGGAAAATATGCACTATTACATGCTTATCTGTTAAACATATTATTCTTTTCCACATCAGTATAATAAATATTTTTAATCATATATTTTACCTCACATACATAGAGGGATGTGATAATTTTATCCCATCTGTGTTGGCCCAAACATGTTCAGTTAATCACAGAATAGAGAAGAGGTTTGCAATCTATAAAAAAGAAAAATTCTGATGTGCTTAGCAAATGTATATGCCCTGTGAAATGAGGATGCTGGCAATAGGAGAAAAGTATAAATTATATTTTCCCAAACAGCCACCACCAACTGATTTAATTTAGTTAACCCCTAATTTATCTTTCTCCCCATTTCTCCCCCACTTCTGCCTAAAAGCCCTCTGGGCTTCCCCAACTCCATTCATAGAGAGCAACATCACTTTGAAGCTTTTGCCTCAAAGGACGTGTTAGCTGTAAGAAGCTGAGTTAGAGGACCGGACAGGAATTCCGGGCCTGCGCGTTTGTAAGTGATAAATCATGAGGGCCAACATTAGAGGAGGCCCAGCACCTGACGGGCTGGCTTGCATGATCCCACATAATTCCACAAAAGTTCTGTAGGGCAGGAATACTGTTGTTGCCACATTTCAGAGGTCAGGACATCGGGCTTCAGCGTGAATGTGGCTGGAGGAGGAGAACCACTGAGGGAGCCATGGCCATCGGTCAGGGAGGATGGCTGCCTGGGCAAGATGGCAGCAGCGGAAGTGAAGGCCAGCGGGTGGCTCAGGGAACGCAGGAAACCTGGCTTGTGGGCAAAATTCACCCCATACACATGCCGGGAACCCAATTCATATGTCAAAGCGAATTTCCCATAAGAAATAACAGAAACCCAGATGACTTGATCTACAACACAAAAACATTCATAAAAGAGATGACAATACTGTGTGATAAAATACTAAAGAAAGAAAATAATAAACAAAATATAGAGAAAATAAATAAATAAAACTACACTCACTTTTAAAAGCCTCCGTGGCTGTTGTGAGGGAGACACTCGAGATGAGGCTGCTGTGCAGGACGCCTGTTACTGTCACTAGCACAATCCCTGCTCCCTGTTGGCGACTGGAATCGTCTTTCTGTGCAAATTTAAAGAGGAACTATTCAGTGACTTTGGCTTTTGCCTCCTTTCTGGGATTTCTGGCTCGCACCACTACAACTTCGTCCTGGGAGTGCTTTTCTACAAAACTTTGCACCGTTTCCTGCATCATATGCATCTCCCTAATCTCAGCCGACGTGAGGGATTCCTCCTCCTATTTCTCCTCCTCCTTTTTCTCCTCCTCCTCTGCAGATGAGATCACCTCCACAACCTCTTGCTGTTGAGAGACGATCAGACGCAATCTTACAGGAACTGAGAGAGAGAGAGAGAGAGAGATCCACTAGCCCAGTTGCAATTATGTGATATTTGGCACACACACTACTCATTTGGCAAGACATCACTTGTTTATCAAGTTAAAATTTATCAGAAATGTTTGCTTGTCTTGCAGGACATTGGCAAAGCAAGTTACTCACTATCAAGGATTTGCTGTATTTGAAAATGAAATCAGCACTACAGTAATGTAGCTCGTGTCATTGCCCTGAGAAATGTTTCCTAGATATGTCAGTATTTATAAGAACACTCCTACAGAAAAATCAGGCAGGTATCTATGTTTGCTCTTTGTCCTATCCATCTTGCACATACATGAATATGAAAAGAAACATTAGCTCAAACTTCAAATGTTGAAGAGGAGATGGTTTCTAGTTGATGGACACTTCACTGATTCACGGTGACAGAGTGGACCACTCTCCATGACACCTCCATGTCTTTCCTGATATGGTTCATCTCAAGACCATTTTCTCGAGGAGCTTTGTATAGCAAGCAGCCTTGGAAAAATAGTGTCCCTCTCCAGAACAAAGAAGATTTGTTGCCTCCAGGGTAAGAAAAGCAACCCCTCCCAATGAGGCAAAGCTTGGGCAGACTTGCCATCGGCTCCCTTAAAATATTGGAAGTCTCATAAGCTTGGAGATCCTTTGCTATAACAAAAACCCACTACAAGTGTGACATCCAGCTAAGCGACACCACATTACCCACTTGAAATACACAGGGATGAAAGGAATAGACATAAACAAGAAGTCTGCTGTGCTATGAATACTGAAGCCCTTGGTCTCTGGCCTGGGAAGCTGATGTCTTCTGGCTAACATCCCCTGTGCATGCCCAACGCCACAGAGTCCTGATCCCTATGCATACCATGTTTGCTCTCATACTGACATATCTAGGAACCCATTTAATTTATAAATCAGGCAAAAAAGATACTAACATCAGTAACTAACAATACAAATGACCGATTATAACAAATTACTATAATAAAAATTATGTTTGAGGGGTCCCTCTGTCACAAACTCACTTGTACATTTACCCTCACTCAAAGGGGACACTTTGTGGCTTTTCTGGGTCATGCCTGAATTTCCAGCATATTACTCTTCCTTTGAGTCAGTATTGAGTAAAACAGGAATAAAATACAGGTGCTACTATCTGATGACAGCCAATTTCGTAACTTTCACATCAGCGAAGTCACTAACAGAGGGCAGCCTACATCGTGCGTGTGTACTGGACACAGGGGTGACTGGTGTCCTGACAGAATGGACCAGCAGAATGCCAGGTTTCCCTGTGCTACTAGAAAGGATGAGCATTTTAAAACTTCTGAGCTCATTTCTGGAACTTTCCACATAACAAATTCAAAACACAAGAAACGAAAACCACTGGAAATGAAACTGTAGCTAAGAGGGACTATTAGGTTGCTTAAGAATGCCTTAAAAATTATTAGTAATTTAAGTGATGCTTTATTTACATTTAAGTCAATGGTATTGTTGAATTAGTCAAGGAAGCACCAGCTGATGGGCAGCATTGTCGTCAAGCTACCAAGCTGAGCGCTCAAGGGGGAACCCCTGCAACTCCGTCCTCGCCAAAGGATCAAAAGTGACCAGTAAATGTGCACCGCTCAGCCTCCACCCTCTGGATTTCTAGGTCCTTTCCTTCCTTTTCGGTGGGTAAATCATACAGCCAAGCATCAGTATTATCGCCACCCCCAACATACGGAGACCACACGACATTGTGGCAGTGGGAAACGCAGACACTGCCCACCCGGAGGCTTAGTTAGCATCTAAAGGGGGAAGCAAACGACCGAGCAAGCAATTAGTACTGTGGGTGGGGAGCGTCGGTTCAGAGCTGGGGGAGGGTCAGTAAGCTGCTATTCAAGGACTCGCCCCTAGGAGGCGACAAAGGTGCAAAAGTGTCTCTGTCCCGGGAAACAGTTCAAGCTGAGTCCCACAGGACTTAAGACACCTGTAAAGCCAAGTGAAGAGAAAGAGGGAAAGCGGCAAAGGTCAGCAGGCGATGAGCGGAGGAAGCTTTATGATGTGTTACAGACAGATTTTTACCTGCAAGCAGTAAACATGCACGGAAAGCTGTTAGGCACAGAAGCAGGGGTTAGAAATTAAAAGATTTGCATTTTAGAAGACAAAATTTGCTTTGGCTACTGAACGGAGAATCTATTACAGAGAATGCTCAGAGTAGGGATTCTCCCCCTGAGCACCAGAGAGTTAGGGCCGGATAATTCTTTACCAGGGAACCTCTCACAGGTCTATTTATGCAGCCCCAAGAGCTGCTGGGATGACCCACAGCTCAGCTCGTGTGTGGAAATGCATTTTACTGCTTGCTTCTGCCTCTTCTCTAAGCAAAACCTACTATTGTACTTGTCTGTCTCAACCCTACGAAGTTGTATACTTTCATACATATGTATGCATACGTTAAGTTTTTGCAAGCATAATTTAGACTTTTCAAAACAGTGACATAGTAACAAAGAAAAATTGAGACGTGCATGCATTTTGAATATTGATTCCAGTTTCTCACATCCTACCCTGACATTTTTCATGCTGCTTGGTTTCTATGCATTTGTTTTCTCTGCTTTTCCACGTCTCACCCAACTTTAAAGGAATTTGCAGCTAACGGGGAATTAGGCTCACCCGTTACTTATAGAACACAAACACTATCCCAGGCCAACCCACCACAAGAATATGCTCGCTGCTAAATAGAGCTTTCCTAGAAAAGAAGACAACTTAGATCTTCATACAATTTATTTAGGTAGAAATGGAAATTATATTTACATGAGATGAACTCTGTGTTAGGGACTTATCACGTATTCAAATATTAAATCTGCCCAAGTACTATAAGCACACAATTACCCCTTCCTTTTTGATACATTTGTAAATTATGATGCTTTAGAGAGGTTAGGTTTGGCATTGCAGGCCAGAGACTCTGCCTCACTTGGCGGGTTCTGCTGTTTAATCACAAAGCAGCCATGGACAACATGCCACCCCAACAGTGCCACAGAAAACTGCTTACTAGTTAGCCCTGGGTGAGGCAGCTAACTAGGGGAAGGGCCTGAGACAGAGGTGAATAGTCAGCCATACTAAAAGAAGCTAAAATTAAAATAGCGAACTAGGACCCTGGACCAAGAACACATGTCCTTCTGTAACGTAAAATGCAGCCCGCTCCCTCTTAAAAAACAGAGGTGCGGCCACCCCCTGCTAGTCCCTGACCTTTCAGCCTGCGACCCCTCTTGACTGACAACACAATGGAAGATTGGGTTAGGGAACCTGAGAGCCACCTGGTCGTTTCTCTAACTTGGCACCTACTAAACAAGGGAGCAATTCCTGGGCCCTGCTTCCCTGTGAGTCTAGATTGAGGGGCCTTCTTAGATCCCCACCGGGGACCCCTCCTAGAAATCCAAGAGCTGTTTGTCGTATTCTTGTTTCCAATAAAAACACTCCTAACCTCCGCCTTGTGGTCCATAACTTCCAACAAGGTTTGCACAACCTTGAGAGGGCGCAGCTGTGTCCCCACCGAACCACGTGCAGACTCTGGCTTTGTGATTTCCTACCATTCACGTTACCAAACACGATTCTGCAGATTTTTTTTTTTTTTTTGGCCATTTAAAAATGCAAAAAATAGCTTGCAGCTCACATGCCGCAGAAACAGGTGGCCCCCTGGCTCTGGTTTGCCCAAGTCTGGGGTCCAGGGTGCCTTAAGAAGGTGAACCGTGAGCTGTCTGCCCTGGTTTGAGCTCCTGTCCCCCCTGGGAAGCCCAGCGAGCTACTCAAGCTGACATCTCTGTGCTCCTGTGTCACGGGCTGGGTGCCCCAGAAGCCAGCCCCGAGGTAGGTTTCCAGGACAAGTTTTCTGTCTGGGAGGTGATCGAAGGAAGCAGGACAGAGAAAGGAGGAGCCCCGCGGCAGGCACGTGGATGAGCAGCTCCCTGCACACTTAGCAGCGGAAGGGGGCACTCACCCTCCTCTGATCCCCGCTGACCTGGCTGAGGGTCCCTCTGGGCTCTTTCATCACCCCCTCTCCAGATACAGCGTTCCCGGAGATCAGGACAGCCACGTGGCAGAGAGTTGCAGGGACCTGCAATACAAAGGCTTCAATTAACAGGAAAACTTAGGCGTGGAGGACACACCTCCGTCTCGGCCACCACCCAGGGTCTGGTGTGCACACTGGCCAAGGAACAGCGCCTCCCTTGTGAGGACTAAAAGTTGCTTCACAGCTGAGACTTGCTGAGACAGTCACAGAATTTTTCTAACAGGATCTTGCTAAGTTGCTAAGCAGCCCAAACCGAACTCAAAATTGCCATCCTCCTGCCTCAGCCTCCCAGAGTTCTGAGATGTCAAGCCTGTGCCACCACTGCTGCCGCCATGTGCAAACTTCATGGTTGATATTTTCAGAATTTGATTTGGAGAATATTTTCAGAACATCATGTTGGGTACCTTAAGTACACGCATTAAAAATACATAAAATAATTGATGATTTTTGCGTCTGTTAAAGTCAGAAAAGTGAAATTTTATAGTAAGTTTTAACTGGGCTAAAAACATTTAAACTTAAAGTGATGCTGTAAGTTTTAATATAGCTAGTTTTTCATTTGTCTGTATTTGTATGTATCCAACTTAACATTCTGGAAATTAACCATTTAAAATGCATAAAAATGAAAAGATACATAAAAATACACACAGAGACAAGGACGTATTTTTCATTTTTCTCCGAGCTCTAATATCACTGCACAGGGTCCTGTGACTGGCCCTGTCTTTACTTAAAATGCTGATATTTTGTTCCTTGTGGATTCTATGTGAATTTTGTTTTTCAAACACTTTATTAAAATACGATTTGTCTTGTTGTGGGGTCCCACCCCGCTGAATTTCTCACCTCCAGCAAGCATCTCACTGTCTTTGTCCGTACCTTGGCCTGGCCAAAGCCCATGTGGCATTTAAGCCACATGCTTAGTGAATGACAGCTTTACTGTTTGTCCTCAAATCCTGCTTTTCCACCACTACTTCGAGGATTTCTTTTTACAGCCCCACCCTGCCTCCTTGGCCCTGCAGGATAACCACATATTCACATCAGCATAACAAACCCTCTTTTGTTTTCCTCTATCCTGGCATATGAAGAAAAAACGCTGCCTTTTATTGAATATCTCTGAGGCATACGTGTTGAGAACACCCTCATAACCTGTTACGGAGGGGGGAAAGTTAGCAAAGCCCAAGCAATTATGGCTGGAGAATTTGAAGGGCCCACTTTTTCTTGACAGCAAATTAATTGATGTTATAATGGGTATGTCACCCTGTCACCCATCAACATTTATTGAGTTCTGACAATGTGCTAGGTTACATGTGAAACAGCGCACACGCACACATACACACACACACTTACACTCACACACGCACACACTCACACACATGCCCAAACCCCAACTTCTTTCTTCCAGAATATGATCCATTGATGATATGATTTACTGTATGTTTTTTCTATGTAGGGAGGAAAGCACAACACCCATGTCCCCCCACTTTATTTTAGCCTCTCAGCCACCCCATATGTTTTCTTAGCCCAATGGTTGCGGCTGGCTTTGAAGATAAGTTGCAATCAACTTCCGAAATGGAAGAAAAAGAATTCTGACTCTCGGAGGAGGTGTATTTGTCTGGGAGATGCATTTTAATGATTCCTGTTTATTAATGACCCAGCCTTTCTAGAACACATGTGAGAGCTGTAATCAGCCCTGCTGCTCCTGTCTCCCAGCGGATCCACCACAGAGGCACAGAAGAGAACCGGGGACCCTGGCGTGATCCGGGAGGCGCTGGGGGACAAGGAAATAAAGGGGGCTTTGGAGACAGAGCTGCCGGGCGTGGGGGGCATGAGGGGCTGTGAGTCAAAAAAGAAACAAAATCTCCAAATAATTTTAAAAGAAACTTCATTTCCCAATGCTGGGGAAGATGTTAAAGAACTGCAGGAAGCAAAACCCAATTGAAAAACAGCTATTTAATTTTTAGAGTTGCTGTTAGGAATTTAGATGAAAGAATGCTCTGGGGATGGAGTGAAGACTCGGGCCCGCGTTTTAGTTATTTATTGTCTGTGTGCATTTGGTTTGGGCATCATTTTCTGATATCGGATGGCGACCCTCGGGAGTGAAATTTCATCCTGAAGCCCACGCTTCCTTTATTCCACCAGCTCTGGTTACAACCTAATGTTATTTTAACCGTTTTTCTTTAATTTAACGATATTTAATTTGCATTCGCTCAAGTGACATACAATAGATCATGCTATTACCATGATTTATATCAGATGAACTGGCATAAATTCAACATTATAAATTGCGCCTGTAAATGAAACTATTATTTTACAGGAATTATGTAGCAGAAAGGCTAAGGACCCTCCAGTCAACCTTAGTCAAACCCACTCTTTAGAGTTTTATATTTTATGCCCGCAATAAATGCTTTTGTGAAAGCTCATAACCCACAAAAAAGTCATTCGAAGTACATTAATTACGATAATACTATCCAAAAAGCTGCAAGGGCCTATTTTTGTGACATCACTTTCTGATTTCTTGCTGCCTTAAATTATTCCTTTGATGGCTACGGAGATTAACAGTCTAACTTTTGTCATTAAATATAAGGCGTTTTAAAGCTTAATCCACCTAACGTCTAATTGATATTGCTTTCAGTTGGCAGATAGCGACCTGATTTATAATTTAAATATGCAGCATTATATGCATCTCTTCAGTCTAATGAAAAAGCAAAGTTTCTCTCATCTTTCTCGGCAATGTTAACATCAAGGGGAAGTCGCTTTCTTTTTTTTCTTTTATATCCTAAGCCTAATTGAAAACTGTTCATTGAATTTCAACATGATAGAAAAGCCTTTTTATCTCTCAATTTGTCCATTAGCGATTATAATTGAAGTATCTGCTACACAGCTGAATTGATATTGTTCTTGTTTAAATTCTGAATTTCTCTAAATCTTTCAGAAGACATCAAAAAATATGTATGTATATCTATGCACCCGCACACACACTTATGTGGCTTCGGGAAGAGCGGCTGCCACCGCTGCTTCTGCATGGGATTAGACACACAAACTCTCCACGTGGATAAAGCCACACAAAGAAGGAACTCGGCTCGTTTTGCTAGAGAACACGTCGCATAATAATCTCACCAGCGTGACCATAAGGTTTGCTAATTGCCACATCTGTTTAACAGCTGGCAGATGCTCCCACACACTGCCATCAATATTACAGCAGAGCACATTACAGGAATTTTATTGTTTTCAACTGTTATTTATTTGTCATAGACATTACTACAGCTAATGACATCTATTTATGTTAGCCCACTAACTATTTTTAGGAACCCTCATTCAATCCGATTTTGCAGTTTGGGTTGGGCAGCTAACCCCTGACCTCACATCCTTCCTTGGCAACCTGTTCATGTGCATGATACTAATTTTTCTTCTTCTGTGGTCATAAATATCCTAATAGATTTGCAGAATTAAAACATCAAGGGGCAGTTTTCAAAATGTCTTCATTCCTTAGTGGCACTGATGAATTCTTCTCCTAAATCTAAGCCGAGTCCATGTTAGTAATGATAAATGCACAAATACATCACTGTTTGGGCTGTCTTTGTGGGGGCAGCATTGGTCTCGCTGATTTTTTGTAATGATTTTTATATTTCCTACTTCTTCGCCACACTGCATTTTTTTAAGCACAGCAAACCGTGACATCTATTAAGCAGAAAGCAGAGGTTGACAAACTGCAGACCGAGCAAAATGCACGTGCCCTGATTTTAAGTGAATTGATAGGTGTCACTGATCTCTATTACACTTAGAACCTGTGAATCCCACGTGATATATTATTTATCCCTATTTGATGCCTCTTTGTTTCATTAATAAACCTATATATCAGAGGTATACAGTGCTGATGATTGGTTTGGGACAGTACAAAACGACATGGTATTTGCCTGCTGTTGCCCAATTATTTCCCTCATTTTTCCCCTGCATCTTTGCATGAATTATTAAGACCTTGCTGTTTATTTAAGAATCTAATTTTGGTGCATGTGTCCAGCTGAATTCTGTTTTCTCCTCTAATGAAAGGAAAGTCGGGTGAGAATTTCCAGTCGCGGTTTCCAACTTTAGATTTGCAAGGCACAATACGAGCTGTAAAGGTCACTCTGCTTTTGATCCACGTAGCGGAGACATTTGATGAGCCTAGAAATCCATTTTGGTTATGCATCACATCATGCCAGCAAATTAAAGTGGAGCTGCTCGGTTAAGTCAAGCACAATTTGCATGTGCTTACAGAGAAATAGATTAAAGTAGAAAGGATCCGATGCGAGTAACCCTACAGGAAATATTTTATCCAAAATGAAAGGAGTTGATTGGAGATCACTTCTGAGAGTAACAGAGAGTGACCATCATTAACATCACGATGTCTAATACTGCCTGTCCGGTTACCAGCCCTCAACACCTCGGGTAAAGCTTATTCATTTATAATCAAATCATGCCACCGCCACATACGTTTATTTGAAAAGCTTATTGAGATAGCAGACAGAGATGATCTTACATCTAAAACTCGCTTGGCCTTTCTAGAGAGGGACAGAAACCTATCATTTTATCCTGCATTAAAAGTGATTCAGGGTTAACAGCTGGGAGGCCACAGCCTCAGCTTCAGAGCTAAGAGTGTCCAGGTCGGGAGCACGCCCACCCAATTCCCAACTCTCTGAGGAGTCCCGTGAGTCTTATTCAGAGCTGCTTCCTGAGTGGAAATGTTCTCAGTGCTAGAGAAAGGACTGGACTTCCAGGCTACCATCTGGTCATCAAGAAGAAGCTGGTATCTGTGAAGGCCCTGCAGATGAAGAACATGGCCCTGGTCATGGTGGTCACATGTGCAATGGCCCGGAGGCCATTGTGGTCCAGCACCTTCAGGTCAGGTCAAGCACTGTTCTGAGCTGAGACTGGAAGAAACTTGTCCATTCAAAGCTTAGGCCTTAGTCTGTCTCCTTGGCACCTCCTGAAAGCTGTCACTCACAAGAAAGCCAGACCCAGATATTTGAAGATGACTTCTCCTCAACTCTCCAAAAGTCCACTTCCCAGGAAAG